CATTTGATCCTCACAACACCCTGGTAGGTAGGTGTTAATATTATCCCCAGATAATGGGGCAGGTGGCGGTGGAGTGACTTACCCAAGGTCACAACGCTTGTGTCTGAAGCTGGATTTGAACTTGGTTCCTGTTGGCCAGCCACAATGGCAGCTTGCCTTGTCTTGGATAGGATTCTCAAGGGCCAGCCTGGCAAAAGGGGTCAGCCCTATTCCATTTTTGTACATTTATTTTAGGAAGTTCTTCTTGACATTGAACGAAAATATGCTTCCTTAACAGCCCTAATTCTGCCCTCTGTTGTAAATACACCCAATCTTTCTATGTGATGGACCTTTAAATATTTGAAGATAGGAATCCTATCCCCTTCAGTTTTACTTTTCTGTAGATTAAATATTCCCAGTTCTTTCAGCATTCCTTAATGTGACATTGTTTTTTGCCCTCCTTTGGAAGGCATTCCAGCTTGTCATTCATTAATCTCTCTAAAACATGGCACCAGACCTGAAAAAAACAATTCCAGATGAGGTCTGATCAGGGTGAAGTATGGTAGGAACTCCCTTGATGTATAGCATGCTATATGTATATTATTATAGGGCAAAGTGGTCCATTAGGGTTTTTTTGGGGAGAGGAAGGGGAGAGTGTAGCTTAAAATTCCTACATCCTGAATTTGTGCAATTGGATTTTTGAGCCCAAGGCTTGGAATTGATGTTTGTCCTTATTAAATTTCATCTTATTGGTTTCTGCCCGTAGTTATAACCTAGTGAAAGCTTTCAAAATCTCGATTCTGTTACCTAGTGTGTTAGCTTTCCCTTTAAATTGTCATTTGCGTATTTCCTAGCATGTGTTCCATGTTTGTGACTAAGAGCCATCTGGATCCAGTAGCAAGATATAGATCAGGATATCTATAGGTAGCCCTGGATACAGTGGGAGACCTTGGGCTTTTTTTTGGGTTGTATGAGCAGTGATTAGACTGGTGCTTTAGGAAAATCTTGCTTTTGTGGCTGTGTGGAGGTTGAGTTGAAGGATGCTATTGTAGTGTTCCTGGTGAAGAGGGCCTGAGCCAAGATGGTGTCCATGTACGTGAAGAAAGGGGATGATGTGAGGCGGGTAGAAGCAGATGTCATAGGGCCCTGGGGAGTGTCCAGACTCTCTGAGGTGACATATCTACCTGGAACTGTCTCCAGAAACATTCTAATGACGGGCAAGAGAACGTCCTTGGGGAGACTGTGGTATGAGTGTAAACATTTTGTAATTGGTCCTGGTTGGATAACCGTGTTGAAGAGGGAGTGTTTTAATGGATTATAGAGGCATTCGAAATAGCCTATCAGCTTCAGTTCTCAGTGAAGGGAGTGGTGGCCACGAACCTGTGAGTTTGAAAGGTCCAGAGGCCTCTTTGGCATCGAATTGCTCCAGAGTTAGGGTTTTGTATGCAGTGTAACATCACTGTTCTGAGGAGCAGATAGTGCTAGAGTCAGCCAAATTACACAGAACTGGCAAGAAGTGGCGACTGATTGAATATTTGGGGGTGAATGAGAGTATGGAGTGGAGGATGACCTTGAAGTCATGAATCTGCGTGAATGGAAAGATGGCGGTCCACTTGAAATAAACAGAGAAATTTGAAAGAGGATTGAATTGGGAGGGAGAGGAGGAGGAAGAAAGGGAATTCTACTTTGGAGAGGCCTTCAGCATGTAAAGTTTCAGATGTCCAGGAGGCAGTTGGTGATGTGAAACTAGAGCTCAGGGACGGGGTGAGGGCTGGATAAATAGATCTGGGAGTGATCTGCATGGGGATTTTCATTAAACTCATGGAAGCTTCTGAGGTCACCAAGTGAGAGTCCAGTTCGGAGTACACTTTGAAGGGCAAACCCCCCTTTGGATGATGAGGCGTTTCAGATGCCTTCATTTGTCGATGTCACTGTTCTGATTGCATTGAGCCCAGAAACATTGTAGTCTCCTAAGTAAGATCCATAATAATTCAAAAAAATTTGGCCAACCTATCCACACAGAAGAACAGGAAAATGAATAAGTGAATGAAGAACCAGCCTAGTGACCCTACCCAAAAGCAAGGAGGTTGTTAGTTTGATGTAATAGCTTTTTAGTGAACCCACCATGACTCCTAGATTTCACCGTAGTCTTTTCTAATTGCATGTACCGTCAAATGAATAGTTTATTCTAGAACTTTGCTTAGGAACAACGTCAAGTCCAATAGTGTAGAGTTTCTGGAATTGAACACTCTTGAAAACCAGAATCTCATTTTTCTCTTTCTAGTTTTTGGGATCCTCTTCTATTCTGTGTGAAGTCTCAGACATTACTGACAATTCTGAGATATAGCATCTGCAAGTTTCTAAAACATGCTTGCCAACCTTTGAGGTCTCTTTCGTCTTTGGGATTTGATGATTCTTTGTAGAAATCTAGAGCATTAAATTCACTTAAAGGAGCTAAGTGCTGTTTTGAGCTTCATTTCCCTCTTTAACATGCCTTTTCTGTCTTTCTCTTGAAATAGTTTTTGTTGTGTAGATGGAAGCAGAGGAGAAATTTCTGCCTTGCTTTCTCTCTTGCCTCGAGCAATGGGCCTAACCTTTTCTTGTTCTTATTGCTTGGAGCATATCTTCAAAAACAAAAACAAAAACCCCTTTCATTTCTTGTCCTTCACATTTTGTTCACAAAATCCTTCTCTTTCTGGCCTTTACATTTCCTGGTTCTCTTCTTCTTCTTCTTCTTTTTTTTTGGGGGGGGGCAATTGGGGTTAAGTGACTTGCCCAGGGTCACACAGCTAGTAAGTGTCAAGTGTTTGGTCTGAGGCCAGATTTGAACTCAGGTCCTCCTGACTTCAGGGCCGGTGCTCTATCCACTGTGCCACCTAGCTCCCTCCCACCCTAAGTTCTCTTCTTAAAAGCCTGTTACACTGTTGTCCTTGGTTATATGCTCATTTGTATAGATCCTTTTAAAATCTGAGCTCAGTGAAGTGTTCCTTATTTGACCACATTCCTCTCTTTGGCTGTTTTACTTGCTTTCTTCTTCATTGGGATCCATTGCGGTTGTGTTGCCAGGATTTCCTTTTCTAGGACTTCTTCCCATTCATGAGTTTAGATGTTCTAGACATGGTATAATATATGTCTGTTCTCTGAAGACCTTGAAACCTGCTTTCCCAGCAACCTTAAAACTTCTGCCTGCCCACCTTTGCCTTAGTTCAGAGATTCGTGAGCTTTTTGAAATCTGCTTTCCAAAAATCTAATGGAGGGGTTCTTCTCCATTTGTGTGTGTGTGTGTCCTGGACCTCTTTGATACTATTTTTTTTCTTTCTTTTTTCTTTTTTTTTTTTGGTGAGGCAATTCGGGTTAAGTGAGTTGTCCAGGGTCACACAGTTAGTAAGCGTCAAGTATCTGAGGCTGGATTTGAACTCAAGTCCTCCAACCTAGCTGCCCCTGGAATATTTTTAAATGCATAAAATACAGAAGATTACAAGCAAATGCAATTATCAAAATATTAAAGAAAAAAGAAAAAGAATAAATAAACAAGTTCATGAACCCCAGGTTAAGAATCCCAGAATTAGTCTAACGTGTAGTTGGGGAGTAACAAGTCTTGGTGAACAGAAAGAACCATTTAGAAAACGGAAGTTCAAATAATGCTAGCATTTTGAAACAAGGATAGTTGGACTGTTTGGCCGCCCACCCTGGCCCTGGAGTGCCCTGGGATTGTGCCCAGTGTCCCCTTCCTTGGTAGTTCTGGACTTCAAGATGGTGATCATTTTCTCTTGTGATGTCTGACCCTCCCATATTCTCAAAAAGTTCTTGGTTTGGGCTTAATTGAGAATACCATTTCCCTTTGAAGTTTCCAATAAAACTGGTAGGTAGTGTAATGGGTAGAATGGTAGGCTTGGAGGCAGTAATATCTGCCTCAGGTGCTAACTAGCTTTGTGATCTGATCACTTAACCTCTCTCAGCCTCAGTTTCCTCATCAGTAAAATGGAGTGGGGGTGTGGGAGAGGGGCGGGGGGAGAATGGAGATAATAATAACACCTACCTCTTGAGGTTGTTTGTAAGGATTGAATCAGATAGCATATGCAAAGTACCTTGCAAACCCTAGAGGGCTCTATAAAAGCTAACTATTATTATTAATTACCTCCTGAGAGAAGAAGTTATCAGCAAAGCAGGTCAAGAATTTATCATTTGCCCTGGTTTCCGGAAATGGAAATTTATAGCCAATATCTGTGCCATTGAAGTCCTCTCCCCCATCACCACTGTGCTAGTTTTTTCTGTTAAGAAGCAGCATGCCCCTCATGCATCTGGCTGGGATGTGAGGGAAGAATGGGCATCTATTCCCATAATTGCATCGTTTTTGTTTCTCCTTTTTTTTTTTTTTTTAGGCAATTGGGGTTAAGTGACTTGCCCAGGGTCACACAGCCAGTAAGTCTCAAGTGTTGGTCTGAGGCTGGATTTGAACTCAGGTCCTCCTGACTTCAGGGCCGGTGGTCTATCCACTGCGCCACCTAGCTGCCCTGTTTCTCCTTTTAATGTCACTAAAATTCTTCTATCCATGCTTTTGCCCATATAGTTGTGGATTTCTTAGAGGTGCATCCTTTTTTGAGTTGGGGACACCTCTTCTCCTCCCAGCCAGTCTGCCCCTTTCGATGGGGCATATACCCTCCCTTCCTCAGTAATTGTCCAGCCATGACATGCCCGTTCTGCTAAGCGGTGCTGTTTCTCTGGAGGCCAGACTGACCTTGGTTAACATTTGCTGTTTATTACCCAGGATGTCATGCAGTGGGATAGAGACCCCTGGAGCAAAATGTGTTATTTTCTCCTGAGAATTATCGCCTCCATTATCTCCCCTTCCCCTGCCCTGTTGCCCTTCTGGGAGATGGGCCCAAGGACTAGATGAACACCTGTTGTTGTACAGTGAATAGTTATGAATGATGGAGTCAGTGAGAAGCTGGAGATGACAGGGAGGGGACTGGATGGCCTTGGTGGACCCCTCGAGGTCTTTGTTTTTCCTTTGATTGCAGCTGCAATGGCCGCGTACTCCCACGGAAAAGCTGTTGGTCGAGATGTTTGACAGCAGCTCGTCCCAGTTTCTGGCTGTATTGGAAGCCCTTTCGGAACCGAGAAGGCGGGTGCTGCAGACGGGTCCCCCCACGTCAGAAGAACCTGAGATTCGGGAGGTCTTTGCTGAGCTCTTCATGGCAGGCAGCGAGCTCTTCTCAGGTGAAGACAGATTCCAAATGAGATCTGGCAACAGAAGGTTTGGAGCTTGTGACACGGTTGGTCGTGTGGCTCGAGGGGCCATGACCGAAGGTTGGGGCATTAGCATCATCTCATACATCCACGGTCTTGTGTTTGCATTGACACTGAGTCAAGTGCTTTTGATGGTCCCTTAAACAGATGTTATAAAATGCTACCATGCATTCTTATTGTATCATCTGTATAGATTTTTTCCAGAATTTTTAAGATACCACATGGCTGTTCCACTAAGAATGGCCAAAGCAGAAAACCGTTCATATGTTGTTCAGTCATTTTCAGTTGTGTCTGACTCTGTGGGACCCCTTTTGGGGTTTTCTTGGCAGAGGTGCTGAAGTGGTTTGCCATTTCCTTCTCCAGCTTGTTTTACAGATGAGGAAACTAAGGCAAACCAGGTTCAGTGACTTGCCCAGGGTCACACAGTTAGGAAGTGTCTGAGGCTGGATGTGAACTCAGGTCCTCCTGAATCTAGTACCAGAGCTCTATCTAGCTGCCCCAGAGGCATTCATGCCTCCTGTTAAATACATAGTCATCAAGGAAAATCACAGGAAGAACATAATGTTTGGCTTTCAGTCTAGTGCACATTCATACTACCCTCTCTCTTCTGGGAAACTTAGTTCTTTCATCCTCTGAATCATTTACCAAGCATTATTAACCTCAGTACAGTGTTGTGATAGATACTGGGGAGACAGAAGATGGAAATAGATACCTGCTGGCTCCCCATGGAGCTTGAAATCTGGGATGCTGGGGGAGGAAACCCAATGATGATATACAGTAAAATAAGGCGAGTTTATTAAAGGTGCAAAGGGATCAGAGAAAATCCCTTTGAAGGGAAGGGAGACAACATTTATAAAATGCCTACTGTGTGCCAAGTGCTTTCCAGGTATTAGCTGATTTGATCCTCACAAGAACCCTGAGAGGTAGATGCTGTTATCATCCCCATTTCACAGATGAGGAAACTGAAGCAGGCAGAGGTTAAGTGACTTGCCAGGGTGACAAGCTACAAAGTGTCTGAGACTTGATTTGAACTCAGGTCTTGTGTGATTGCTGGCCCAGCATTTTATCCACTGGGCCCCCTTGATGCCTTATGAGGGAGGTAACAGTTACGGTGGAATTTTAAGAGAGGGATAGGAATTCGACAGGCCATGGAGAGGAGGGAGGATGTTTTGGGTTCAGGGGAACAATGTGAGAAAGGTCACAGAACCAGGAGTTTGCTGGGCATTTTTGAGTGGCGGTCAGTGCCCAGGGGTTGGCCCTGGGCCAAGTGCTGAGGATGCAAAGAAAGGTAAAGAGACCAGTCCCTGCCCTCCCAAAGTAGGCATTCTAATGGAGGAAACAGCATTAAAATCACTAGGGACATGGAACAGTAGCTTAGCAGCAGTGGAAGGAGTGTGCTGGGGAGGGTGGGGACATGAGGGAAGAGTGGATGGTGAAGGTGGGAGGCTTTGAACACCAGGCAGAGAAATTTGAACTTGGCCCAGTGAACAATGGGGAGCTCCTGAAGGTTACTGAGCAGGGGAAGGAGGTGACCAGATCTTTCCATAAAAAAGACGGTTCTTTCAGTGACATGAAGGAGGGGTAGGTGGGAGGGGCAGGAGGGAGAGGAGAGATGGATGGCAGAAGTGTGTCCTGACAGTCCAGGGGCTTAATGAGAGCATGTGTTGGGGTATGGTTGTGGGAACAGAGAGGGCAGGATGGAAGGTGACAGATAAGCTCACAGGGACGAGGCAGAAGACAAGAGCTGAGACTCAGCAGGTTAGTGAGGTGGGGGAGTCCCAGCAGGGTGAGTCTGTGTGAGGGTTCAGGGAGCCAGGACTCCCTCCCAGTGGGTGGGATAACTTCACATCCCTCAAATAACACAGAGTAAAAGAGACAAATAAAAAACCCATAGAAATCATTTTGGGAAAGACAAAGTAATTTAAAAGCATATTACTTTTGCTTGTGCAAAACGTTCTGGTTATGGAACCATGGCATTCTAGAGTTGGAATAATAATAGTGATAATAACGATAATAAAAGCTAGCACTTACATAGTGCTTTAAGGTTGGCAAACAAACAAACAAACAAACCACTTTACAAGGATTATCTTATTTTATCCTCACTACCACCTTGGGAGGGAAGGGCTATTATTATCCCCATTTTACAAATGAGGAAACTGAGGAAGACAGAGGTTAAGTGACTTCCCCAGGGAACAAATGTCTGATGTTGGATTTGAACTCAAGTCTTCCGGACCCCAGGTCTGCTTGGCCAGCTGCTCCATCTGACATCTGACACAACTCCCTGATAGATAGCAGAATCTCCCTTTATTTCATCCCAGCAAGTTGTCAAATTCTGCTCGAACACCTTACGTGACAGGGATTCACTGATATCACCACCTTATAGTAACCCTTTTCAGTTTGCTTCCTAAAGCAATTTATAATCATACTTTCCATATGAGGTTCATTATTATAGTTAACTGTAAAGCTATTTGGGACTGTGTTGAACATCCCAAATTTCTTTGTTTTCTCTTTAGCTAGGCAATGGGGTTAAGTGACTTGGCCAGGGTCACACAGCTAGTAAGTGTTATGTGTCTGAGGCCGGATTTGAACTCAGGTCCTTCTGAATCCAGGGCTGGTGCTCTGTCCACTGCACCACCTAGCTGCCCCCGAACACCCCAAATTTCAGAGACCATTTAGACTGGATTTCAGAATTTCTTTCTTTTTTTCTGTTTCAAGATCCAGACAGTGGCCAGACAGCCAGTGGGAAGTATGACTTTTTCAAAACAGTCTCTTCAGTTTCTTCTCAAATGAAACTCGCCGTCGAAGGGAACGACAGTGTTTCGATAGCTGCGGCGGTGAAGTTGATAAAATTATTTTTCACCTTTGAGGAATGGAATTTATTTCATTGTACTGCCGCTCAGTTTATCAACTTCCTTCAGGTACTGTACCCTGCGTTCTTGCCTTGTTTCGTATCAGCGTGGTCACGGTAACGAGCTGCTCACCAGTTTGTGGGGTCTGTCCTGTTTCTTAGAGTCGAAAGGACCCGGCCTCAAGGAAAGCGGAGATGGATTTAAGGCTTCTGGCTGCGATGGAGCCCTTGATCAACGTAAAGAGAAATAAAGGCTTGGCTTACACTGGAGAAGGAGCAAACAGTATCACGGATGGAGGTCGAAGTATAGGGAAGAAAATTGTGTTTCAGGGTGAGTTAGGGAAGACTTTTCTCACCTGCTAGTGGAACCAATGTGTGGAAGGGTGGTTCTGTCCATCGTAAACATTTATCAAGCACCTACTATGTGTCAGACCCAAGGTGGTGCAGACAAAGATAAAATAGCCCCTGCCCTCAATAAGGTTCCGTTCTGCTGGGAGGACTCAGCAGGTGCACGCTGAGGCATATGCAGAAGGAAGAGGTCCTTGTCGTGGGGATTGGGGTTGAACTGCCCTGTCTGCTTCCGGGAGAAAAAACCCAAGGGCTCTCTTGTCAGTCGGTAAGCATTTATGAATCACCTCCTCTGGGCCAGGCCCTGTGCCAAATGCTGGGGTTACAAAAAGAGGTAGAAAGCAGCCCCTGCCCTCAAATTGCTTACAGTCTATGGAGGAGACAGCATGCAACAACTGTGTATAGACAAGCTATAGACAGGGTGAACTAGGGCTAGTCTCAGAGGGAAGGACTAGGAAGAGCTGCTGGCAGAAGGTGGATTTTAGCTGGAACTTGATGAAGAGGAAGAGGATTCTAGGCATGAGGGTGAGCTAGGGAGATGTCCCCGGTGACTCATCACTTTGGGGCGGTCCAGCAAACCTTCCGTGCTCCCTTGTTTGTAGTGTTTTGTGAGCCTTGAGGTGCTGTACAAATGCTGGTCCTCCTCCTCCTCCTCCTTTTCTTCCTCTCCCTTTTTATCCTCTTTCTTCTCCTCTTTCTCCTTCTCTTCATCCTCCTTCTCTTCCTCTTTCTTCTCTTCGTCTTTATTCTTCTCTTCTTTCTCCTCTTCCTCCTCTTCTTCTCTTCACTCTTCCTCATCCTCTTCCTCCTTCCCCTTGTCCTCTTTCTCTGCTTCTTCTTCTTCCTCTTCCCCTTTTCTTCCCCTCCTTCTTCCAGCTCTAGGATTCCACACTCCGAGTGTTTGGGATGACACAAAATAACATGCCTTTATATTAATCACGTTGGATCCAAGTGACAATTCCTTACCTACTCTGTCAGAAATTGGACTCCAAGAAACATGGTAGAGCAGGGTCACTCATCGCTGCCTTCTTATTCCTTTCTGCTAGCACCCTCGCTGAGGTTCTAGGATGATCTTCAGCTTTATCTTTGTCCAGAACTGAATCACACAGGTGATTCTGGACCTCGGTCTAAACTTTGAATCCAGGCCTATGTCATCGAAGGTCAGATCTGTCCCAGGTTCCAGAGCGTCGGCTCAGACTGGAGTTGAACTGTTTGTCCATGATTATTGGTACTTGTGGCTACTTGGCGATTCACTGATGAACCTTCGGCCAAGAAATGCCAATAGTTATCGAAAAACGGCGAGATCATAGGATGTTAGAACTGGAAAGGACCTTAGAGGTCATCAAATCCCAACCCCCTCACCTAACGATGATGAAGGAATCCAAGCGATGCAACAAGAGCTATTTGCTGTTTGTATCAGAGGGAGTAAGCAGAAAACTCTGATTCTCTTCTTCCTTCTCTAGAAGGTAAAGCAGTGCCCTGCCCTCTGCTGTCACGGGGTCTGCCAGCCTCTGTGGCCCCTGGCTGACCTGAGCTCCTCTGAAGTTTATCTAGGGACTGCCTGGGTGTACTCCTGGAAGGTGATGGTGAGGAGGGAGCCCTTCTGAGGGAGCCCTGGCTTTGGGGTCAGATGGAGGATCGTGGTTCAAATCCGCTTCTGAGGCTTCTTACCTGTTTGGCTTTAGGCAGGTCGCTTAACACCATAGCACTGGCCTCAGTTTCCTCATCTGGAAAGTGAGGGAGTTGAACCAGATGGATTCACACATGGTAGACCATGACAGTATTGCCCTCTGTATAGTCCTGTAGGATGCCTGTAAGTATTCTCCACTCTATATGGCAGGTGTGTTCCTGAAAAGTTGTATGTAAAATTAATTTGTGAAAATTCAGTCACATTTTAAATACCATAGGGAAATGTAGGGAAACAAGGCATACTTTGTAAAAATGGAGTGTTTTTGAAATGCAAACATTACCCCTCCCCATTTTAGCTACAGATTTGAATTTTCTTAAAAATCCAATTTAATTGGAGCCCACTGGCAGAATGACAAATCCTTTCTAGGGACAAGTTTGTCACAGATATGGTTTGCTGCATTTTAGAGCTAAAGTGAAGGTTCCCAAGTTTGGCTTTCCTTGAACGTTTTCTATTCATCATTTTGTAATTAGATGCTAAGTTTATGTTAACTTTGTTTTTCTGTTTCATGAATCAAGACCCTCACGTGTTTTCTGGAAGCTATTCTGATGACATTTTCCACTTGGGGTCAATGTTATTTTCCTTCATTTGTTCAGCTGATGAGGTGAAGTGAATACTTTTGACATTTTTTTCATAATGTTCTGTGATTAAAAAGATGGAGGCAATCACACAGTCTTCCTTTCTTTTAAAATTCTAAATAATTCATTGTCTACATTATCAGAAAATTGAAAATAATAAGTATCAGAATCCTGATTTATCATAATTTTCAATGTATTTCATTATTGAGGGCAACCGTATGTCCAAGTTCTGCCTATGAAATGATCAACATTAGTACTAATAATTTCTTCTTGGCACATGCCCACTCTAGCTCTTTTTCTAAATGTCAGAGAAACTGTGCCAATCCTTTTACGAGTGTATGTTTAATTAGTTTTGCTTCCAAAATCCATGGCTGCTGAGCTGAGTGTCTTTTTTTTATTTTGGGGGATTTACTTCTTTTTTGTTTCATAGGGTGAAATTATTTAGAAATGATTCTGATGTATGAGTATAGATTTTTCTGAATATTGTCTTCTTAAGTTCATATCCCATTTAAATTACTTTAATAGGAATATTTGAATGTTCACAATATGAAAATTTTACTGCATCCAATATTGGTTAAATCAGTAGACCATAATTGGAGGTTTGGAAAAAATTTCCATTTTAATGAGATTTTTTTTATTATGACAGTATTTGTTGCAAAAGGATTTAACTTATGATAGCTTTTTGAAATCAGGTGTTTCTTTCTTTTCATGAAGAATTGTGGTAATTATTATAATACAGAGAGTAAAGATGAGAAACAAGGCTTACAGGGATATGAGGTTTTCAAATAATTTTTCTTGCCTCCGATATTATTCTCCCTTGATCATTTTATAAACCAACTCATAATATCTTGTAAACCATCAGCAGTTCACATATGCTGGTATTTGCTTTCTTCTTTTGGATTAAAAGAGTAGGTAACTTAAGGACTGACCTGTTACTGAGTCAAGTAACTTTTATTAAGTACCTAACGATAATGTAATTATTAAGTACCTAATGATAATGTAATGGTCTTTGCTAGTCATCCAAGAAACAATGTGGCACAGCATATGGCCTTGGGAGTTATGAAGATCTGGGTTTGAATCCTGCCTGAAAAATGTATTAGCTGCATGATCCTGGAAAAGCCACTTAAGTTCCTTGAGCCTCAATAATCCTATCTGTAAAATGGAAAGCGCCTGCCTCCCAGGGTCGCTGTGAGGTTCGAATGAGATAATGGATACAAAGCATTCTATAAACGGGAGCTATTAATGTCATCCGGCCCCAGTGAAACAAAGATGTGGAATGAGGATGGTTTTCTGTATCCTCTTGAAATAATCAGCTGGGTTTTTTAAAAAATTTTATCTCCCACTATTATCCTGCCTATTTCTCCCACTACTCCATTTCTTTTTTTCCATCCTTCTAGATTCTCAGAAAGAAATAAAAAAAGGAAAATTCTATTGAGCCTTCAGATTTGACTTATTCTATGTTTTTTATTAAAAACTGTTTTGGGATTGATCTATTTATTCCTTTAATCTGACATCCCTTTTCAGAAAGTTCAGCCTGATAGTGAGATCGTTGTTGACCTGATAATGTTCCTGTGGCAGAAATGCAAAATGGGAATCCAGCAGGTCTACTCGGCAAAAATGGAATATTTCAAGTTTGTCCAGAAAGTCAAAAATAACAAAGTATTGCTTTTTCTTTCTATTATGCTATTTTGTGGTGGTTATAGTTTATTATGCTTCATTTAGCTTAAAATTCACACCTCAAAACTAAAAGGAATATATTTGGTCTATAATTCAATCATCATCATCATCATCATCATCATGAAATATTTACTGTGTGCCAGGCAGTATGCTGAGCACTAGGGATGCAAAAAAAGACAAAAATGATCCCAGTCTAAAAAATGATCCCAGTCTGAAAAACAATTCATTTCAATGTCAGGTCATTTTTTAAGTGTCTTTGATGTGTAGAGATACCATCTGAGGCACACAAAGACAAGAATGAACCGTTCCTGCTCTCAGGGAGCTTACATTCTATTGGGAAGGGAGTGGGGAAAGATGGCATACAAAATTTGTACAAGCAAGAACAAGGAACATTCAGGAAGGAGTGACCCCTGCCAGTGAGGGCAAGGGATCAGCACAGGTTTCATGGAGGAGGGGACAGCTGAGTTGAACCTTGAAGGCAAGGGTTTTGAAAGGTCTGGATGAAGAGGGAGAGCCTTCTTGGAATGGCATGTCTTAGAGCTGGAAGGGACCACCTCAGAAACCATCTAGTCTAACCCCCCCTCCCATTTTACTGATGAGGAAACTGAGGTCTGGAAAGATTGAGTGATTTACTGAAAGTCACACAGGTGGTAAGGGACAGATAGAAGATGTCAACTCCAAATCTTGTGCCCTTTCCAGTGCGCCACTTTGTCTTTCTACAATGGAAGCAGGAGAAAGAATATTGAGTTGAGGGATCAGCCAGTCATCCATTTTGGCTGACACTTCAAACTTAGATTATGTGTGTCTCTTAAGACAACGAGTCCTTAAACTTAATGCCAAGTGATCTTTGGTTTGCAAGTCTCTCGTGCCCCTTATTTTTTTATTTTTTTTGTTGGAGAGACAACAGAGTTTTCAAAGCACGAATAAAAGCATATTTCTTAGATCCTATCAACTGAGAGAGATTCACAGAGGAATTGGATAATAGAGAACCCAGGGAACCAAATACCAAGTTTCCATCTTGTTTCCCAGGAATACATGTCTATTATTGTCAAGAGAGAATTCAGGCAAGGGGAAAGAATTGAAACCATTCCCCTGAACTTATCACTCAGAGGATTAGAAGAAACTGCGATAGCTAACTTTCTTATAATCCTGAAGCCAATCAAGGTTGGGAGCATGAGGTTGCCTGGAGGCCAAGTTGTCATTAGCTTATCTACAGTGATGGGGGGGGAGTCTCTGCCAACCTTTGTCCCATCTTGGGTCAGCCCTCCTGCCCTTTGTCAGCTACAGAATAAGCCAGTCCATTGCCCATCCCCTCCACCTTGTCCTAAGAAACCATGGAGTTGTTTAGACTATGTGTTTGTTTCTCGCTCCGTGACTCTGGGCAAGTCCCTTAACTCTCAGCTCTTACTCTAGGCAACTCTGTAAGAGTAGAAATTGCTGAGGATGGGCCACCGTGCATTGGTGGAGGGAGTTTCCTTTCCTGGGAGTTCCCTATACCAATGAAATTGCAGGACTAGTCCTTGTCTCACTGGTTGCTTTAACTTGATTGTTTTCTTTTTTTAATTATTTTGTTCACTGTTTTCTTTCCTTAGTGGATTCATCTGCTTTGGCAGATAAATGAGATGATTTATTCTTATCAAACGGAAGACATCAACCCTGTGGTCGTGGCCGAAGTCTCGTTACGACTAAGTGAAATATTGGAGACTTTGGGAAACCCAGAAAAAAAATTTAAAAAATGTTCAGGTAAAGTATCAAAGGAGATAATCTGAGGATCATTTGGACAAATGAGCATGGGGATGAGACCAAGGCACTTACTGTTGCTAGATGGTGCCATGTCTTTGGGATACTTAAGAGTGGTATGGTCTTGGGGGAGTTTTGCTTCAGCTTTAGCTTCTTAATAAAATGGCGGGGGTGTGTGGTGTAATAATGGGCTTGTTGTGAGGATCAAACAGGACAACATCTGTAAAGTATTCTGCATAAACAGTAGCTCTTATTATCCCAGTAGAAGCTGGATGTGAAAATTGCACAACTAAGTTATAAGGCGAGAGCAGATATTACATTACTCATTTTGGAATTTGTGATAATATGGACCTTTGAAAGGGCTGAAGTTTTTCTTTGCTTAGGAAATCTTTTTGATTCTTTTTAAGTGATAGTGGAAATAATCATCAACAATATATTGCAAAGGAATTATTTAAAATCCTTTAGAAAATAAACTTCATAAGAGCCCTCACGTGTGTTAGACTCACATGCTCCATTACCCCTTGAGACACAAACGTGTAATTTGTGAGCATTCCCATGCATAGAAACTAACCTACCCCTCTCTTCACCTTCCCTAAAGCTTTTCTACTCCCCCTTTTCTTTCTCTACCCCACCCTCACCAAGAGAAACCAAGCTGTCCTGGTCTAGTGGCACCAACCGGAGGCTGATATGGAGAATGCATGCTTTTTTCCTATTTTATTTTTTATTCATTTATTTATATATCCCCATTTATTTATTTATATTTCCCTATTTAATTCAACTAATGTTTATTAAGCACCTACTGTGATCAATGGCCTGGTGCTAGTTACCGTCTACAAAAAAGGAAACTGTTGCTGACTTCTAGGAGCTTGTGTTTTTTAGCGTCCTTTCATCTCTTATTCTCCTTTAGGGTTATGCACATGATATAGTTTTCTGTGATCAGCACCTTCTCTGTGGAAGGTCCCACACTAGATGCATTGTCTTTGACCCAAAGACGAAAAGCGAGTGGGCCTTTGCCTACCAAGGATCATCGTGTACACATATAATTAAATACCAAATATCTACTAAGTAAATACAAGGAGGAATGGGTGGACAGGGAGGGTGTCCAGAAAGCCTTAATGCAGGAAGTAGCTCCTGAAGGAAGGGAGCAGGAGTGGAGGTGAGGGGGGCAGGGGCTCTGTAGATCAGGGGAACGTTTGCCTGGACCTTGGAGTGTGTCAAAAGAACTAAAGTGTCACACACACAGGAAACTTGGCTGTTAGGCTGTGAAGGGCTTTACATGCCAAACAAGTATCTGTATCAGGGGGGCTGTGGAGCTTTGTGAGCAGATTGTGTTACCTTTTTCATGGCTCACATTTCAGTTAATTTGACCATAGGGAATTTCTTTATTTTTAAAATTTAATCTTCCTTTATTTCTTTTATAATTTTTTTTCTGTGTTGCTATAAATTCCTAATTTCTGCCCATCAATAAAACTCTTCTAACTGCAAAGTTAAACGAAACAGTTCAACACCTTGACCATATCTGACACCTGATGCTTCATTCTGGACCTAGAGTTCAACACGTCTCTTGTGAGAGGTGGGAGCCATCCTTTACCATCTGAACCTTTAACTGATCACTGGGTTGATCTGAATCCTGAAGTCCTTCAGTATCCTTTTCCTTTACTCTATTGTAGTACAGTAGTATTTCCTTATACTCTTTGAGTTATTGCATAAATCGTTCTCCCACTTCTGCTTACTTTGTTCCACATCATTTCATACAAATCTTCCTGAATTTTTCTGAATTCTTTAGATTTATAATTTTTCATGATGTGATAATATTTCATTGCATCCATATTCCCCAGTTTGTCTATCCATTGTCCAGTTATTGGGTACCCACACTTTTTCCATTTCTTTGCTACTCTGAAAAGTGGTTTTTTTGTGTATTTATATATATATTTTTTGTATTTTTGTATATTTTTTATATAAGTATTTTTGTATATTTAGGGCCTTTCTCTCTTGCTCTCTTTGGCTTCTTTAGAATATACACCTGGCAGTAGTATCATTGGATCAAAAGGTATATACGGTTTAGTGAATTTTCTAGTATAATTCCAAAACAGCTAGACCAGTTCATAGGGCCATCAACAGTCAGTTAGTATGCCTGTCTTCATACAGCCCCTCCATCAACTAACATTTTTACCTTTTGTAATCACTGCCAATCTAATGGATATAAGGTGAAATCCCAGTTATTTTGATCTGCGCTTCTCTTATTAATGATTCTTGGAGCCTTGTTTCCTAAGATTATTGACAGCTTACATTTCTTCTTTTGAAAGCTTTTTGTCTGTATTCTTTGATGGCTTATTTTTTAGGGGAATGGCTCCTGTTTTTATCTGTTTGTATCAACCACTTTCTTAAAAATACACATCTAAATACTTGTTCACCATTTTCTCCCCTGTCTCTCTCACCCAGTTGCTATAGGAATATTACTCTCTTCCCGCCTCTGGTTCCTTCTCTTTCTCTTTCTCTCATTCTCTCTCCCTTTCCTGCTCCATCTTTTTATTCTTTTGTGAACCAAATGAGTCCCCTTTTCCCCCAAACATGAGAAATAAAAGGGTAATTGTGAAGTATTTTTAAAAACTAGAATGGAATTCCTAAATTTTAATGAAATTAAATATAAAGTAACAATTCTATCAACCCTTAAGACTTGAAAAAATCCAGAAATCCCCTTCAGAATTTTTATAGGTACTCATCTTTTACCTTGGGCTCCTCTAATTCAACTTACTTTACTTCAAGTGCTAGCATTCAGAGATTTAACTTTCCTATTCATTTCCTATTAATTTTTTTTGCTGTTTTGTCTGATTGCTAATTTTGCAACAGAATACTTTATTTTTATTATTTTTTGTGGTAAGTATACTGTATTTTGACAACATGAATTTAAGTATTGGGTTTTTTTTAATGGTTTATATTTCAAAGGACCAAAATGCAAATGTGCCTTGCATGCAGCAAGTCCTGAATAATAATAATAATTCACATTTATATCATGCTTTAAAATTTATAAAAATACTTATAACAACCCTGAGAAGCAATTTGAGTAAATATGATTGTTTATAGATGAGGAAACTGAGGCTAAGAGGTCAAGTGATTTGCTTATGATCATATGACAAGTAAATGGCACAGCTGACACTGGAAATCAGGTCTTATGATTCCAAAAATGTGTTTATGGTAATGAATTAAAATAGTTGGCATTTAACATTTATAAAGTGGTATCTTGCTGTATTGACAGAAGTGTATTTTTCCTTACTTAGGTGTATAAATTCTGCCATATTTGCTAAATCCAGTTCAAGTCAACAAACATTTGTTTAGGACCTATTATGTACATGGTAATATACTAGACTCAAGGTGAATTAAAAAGACAGATAAGACATGGGTAGGCAGCTACAGTCTAGAAAGGGAGAGAATGGATACTTATATATCAGCTGTTGTTGTTTGTCCTTCATGCTTGAAGAGGACCAAAACAACGTCATGATGTCGGGGTACTCAGATCAGTACTTTGTACACAGAGTGCACTCAATAAATATTTAGCTGTTAAATTGGGTTGATAATCATTTGTTAGAAACAAAGGACCATTTTGAAGTCTTACATTTTGAAGGATCTGTGAGTTCATTGATGTTAATAATTCTACTGGCATAGAATACCCATGTATTTTAACCTTATCCTATGTGGGTCTTGGCTAGGGCTTCCCACAGAGGATCTACCCACCATGTTGGAGGCCTTGTAACATTTCATGGCTATCAGTGTGACACTTAGTCTTTATTCTAATCACACATTTTCTTGATATATTTCATTACATTTGACTTGCCCAATAGTCACCATTGGTAATATTCTGCAACCCAATTATATCCATTATTCATTTTCCATTGTTTTTTGGACCATCTTTAAAAATTTGATTTTTTGGGGCAAAATTATGGACATTTATGATTCTCAGTCACATAGCATTATCAGAATATTCATCCTTAAATATGTAGATTTTACATTATATATAGTCTTTGCAAATATGCACACACACTATATATAATATATGCACGTATCTATATAGACATATATACATATGTATGTGTATGTGTGTAGATATATGTATATGAGAGAGAGAGAGAGAATGAGAGAGAGAGAGAGAGAGAGAGAGAGAGAGAGAGAGAGAGTGTTTTTGGAGTGTGAAAGAGCAGCTTTGATCATTGACAATGATGCATAATTTCTAAATGAAATTTGCTGTCTCTTATTCTGTTCTGGACCAGCTCATTGTTCATTTGAAATGGACTAACTCAATGTGTTGCCTGTTTGACTGTTTGTCATAATCTAGGCAATATGCATTCTTATTAAGTAGTCAACATTTATTGGCCAATTGCAATGGAAAAAGTAATAGCTTAAATAACCATGCTCCAAAATAATTATTAGAAGACTATAATTGGCTTGGAAAAATCAATGAGTTCATTATGCATGCCTTCTGGTTTTTCTCTCTGCCTTTTGGCTCATTGCTTCCACTAAGAAGCCGTGATGAAGCAAACAGGTGAGAGGTTGCTCTTTCTTGCAGCTCTAGTAAAAGTCTTTGTTTTTATGTATTTTGTTTTCCATGACATTCCTATTCCTCAATTAATATGGTTAATTAAGAGTTGGCTGTAGAGACAAACTGAATCAATTCAGATTAATTTTAAAGTAGTTCAGAAATGAGAAACTCCATGCCATATTAACTCCCTCAACATATCATAAGTGTTGCATACTGTTTCCTCTGTTTGTTTATGGGTGACTAGACAAAGTATGAGACAGAGACTGAGAAAATTTTGAAAAAAAAAAAAAACAAGAAAACAACCAGAATCAGCTGCATTTAAAATAGTATAACTTTGTATAAGAAAAGGATTAATGGTCAGTCTCCCTGAAGTAATGTTTAATACCTTAAACTTGATTTCCCTTTCTTCCTTATTGGCTTTGGAGAAAGAGTTTTATTTGTGGAAACAGAAGTTTTTAATTTGACCAATTGTGGACCATAAATTTCAAAAAGTTTAACATCCAAAAGCTGTTTTTGTCTCAAAACACTGGGCCAACACTATACATTTTTTTTAAAGAAAGTTAAGTGGAAACACCTCATCTTGTAAAGCTGAGACATTAATTTAAGCTACTGTTTCTTTATTTCATTCTTTCCATTTGTGGGATGTTTTCATCAATTTGGGTTTTAATATCATGTACGGTTGATAGAAAATAATTTTTCTCTGGGTCCAGCATATCACTCAGCCTCTTCAAATACTGGAGGAAAATTAAAAAATATCATTTGATAGTTTGCTCAGATTGATATTTCTGTTCCTCTGGTCTTTCTAGAAAGAGACAATCATCTGTCTGGTGTTTGTCAGTTAACCACTCAAGATGTTGTTGAGGACATTCCTTTGCTTTAAAACACCCCCTTTTCAGGTCACTAGAACAGGGCATCTTAACCTCTTTTGTGTCCTGGACTCTTTTGACAGAGTCTGGTAAAACCTATGAGCCCCTTCTCAGAATCATGCTTTCTAAGGCATAAGATAAAATGCAGAGGATTACAAAGAAAGCCAGAAGTTAGGGAAAATAAAGATGTAATTTTTTCCCATCCAAGTTCATGGACATCCTGAAATCTGGGCCCCAGATAAAGAGCCCGTGATGAATGTAATGTTGATCATTATTATATCAGTATTATATTATATAATGATATTATAACCTAATATCATATGCTATATAACAATATTTGTTTTATTTTGTGGTATTATATGGCTGTGACCACAAACTAATTTTTGATCTAATAGACAGTAAAAGTCTGATGGCTGTCTGCAGTATTCCACATAAATGAAAATGTTTGTATGGTCTTGTTGTATTTTTCAAAATATCACTCAGGGCAAAATTGATAGGTAAAGGGTCAATACCATATGGAGGAAATTTTTTAAAAAAGCACATTTTGGGGCAGCTAGGTGGCACAGTGGATAGAGCACCGGCCCTGAAGTCAGGAGGACCTGAGTTCAAATCTGGCCTCAGATCAAACACTTGACACTTAACTAGCTGTGTGACCCTGGGCAAGTCACTTAACCCCAATTGCCTAAAAAGAAAAAAAAGCACATTTTATTGATATCTGTTGTTTTTACATCACTTACATTTTCCATTATATATCTATATATGACACTGGAGAGTCATCTCTTGTAGCACAGAGTAAAAAAGAGGAAAATATCAATTTAGCAAAACTAACCAACTCTTTGAAGAAATGTGTCTTCTGCAGTGTTCCGTTGCCATTGTATCCAATCTCTGTAAAAAAAGGGGGTGGGGTAGGGTGCCATTTCATATCTCTTTTTTGAGGTGAAGCTTGGTCATTTTCACTTTGTAGTTCTGTTTCAGTTGATTTATTATTAATTTTCCCATTTACATTGTTTTGGTTATTGTGAACATCATTTTATTAGTTCTACTCCCTTCACTTTGCATCAGTTCATATAAATCTTCTCATGCTTCTCTGTGGTCATCATAGCCATTGTTTCTTACACGACAGTAACATTCCATTACATTCATATGCTATGATGTATTTCACTATCCCCTACTCCCCTAGGCATCTGCTTCATTTCCAGTTCTTTGTTACCACAAAAAGCACTGCTATAAATATTTTGGCATAAATGGAGCTTTTATTTTTGATCATTGACTTGGGGTACTAGCAGTGCCATTTCTGGGTCAAAAGGTATGGACACTTTGGTCATTTTCTTCACATAATTATAAAATGATTTCTGGAATGGTTGGATCCATTCGTAGCTAGAGTGGAGAAATTTCAAAAGTATTTCTGCAAAATTGATACTTTATTGGAATTAGTAATAGTCTTTATCTGTAGCAATTACTAGCTGCCCAAAGAACATTTCCCAAACAATTTCTTTTTTTAAAAATTAATTTATTTGGAATTATCAACAATCACTTCCATAAGCTTTTGAGTTTTAAATTTTTCTCCCCCTCCCTCTCTACCTCCCTTCCCAAGATGGCATGCAATCTGATATAGGCTATACATATACATTCCTATTAAACATATTTTCACATTAGTCATGTTGTAAGTAAGAATTAGAACCAATAGCAGGAACCACCAGAAAGAAGAAACAAAACACAACAGAAGAAAAAATAGCAAATAGTATGCTGTGATCTGCATTCAAACTCCATAGTTCTTTCTTTGGATGTGGATAGCATTTTCCATCACGAGGTCTTTGGGAGATGTCTTAGATCCTTGTATTGCTGGGAAGGGTTAAGTTTATCAATGTTAGTCATCGCACAATGTGGCTATTACTGTGTACGACGTTCTCTTGGCTCTGCTCACTTCACTCAGCATCAGTCCATACAAGTCTTTTCAGGTTTTTCTGAAGTCAGCCTGTTCATCATTTCTTATAGCACAATAGTATTCCATTACATTCATATACCACAACTTGTTCAACCATTCCCCAACTGATGGGCATCCTCTCAATTTCTAATTCTTTGCCACCACAAAAAGAGCTGCTGTAAATATTTTTGTACATGTGGGTCCTTTTCCCATTTGTATGATCTCTCTGGGATGTAGCCCTAGAAATGCTATTTGCTGGGTCAAAGGGTATGCACATTTTTATAGCCCTTAGGCCATAGTTCCAAATTGCTCTCCAAAATGGTTGGATCATTTCACAACTCCACCACCAATGCATTAGTATTCCAATTTTCCCACATCTTCTCCAACATTTATCATTTTCCTGTTTTGTCATGTTGACCAATCTGATAGGTGTGATGTGGTACCTCAGAGTTGTTTTTGATGTGCATTTCTCTAATAAATAGTGATTTAGAGCATTTTTTCATATGACTATAGATTTCTTCATCTGAGAATTGCCTGTTCATATCCTTTGACCATTTATCAATTGGGGAATGACTTGTATTCTTATAAATTTGACTTAATTCTCTATGTATTTTAGAAATGAGGCCCTTAACAGAGACATTGGTTGTAAAAATTATTTCCCAGTTTTCTACTTTCCTTCTAATCTTGGTTGCATTGGCTTTGTCCCAAACAATTTCTACAAAATGTATGAGAGCATGAACTACTCAGATTGTTTGAAGAATGGAGAGAGTGAATTCATCCTTAAAATTATGCATTTTCTATTTTGTAGCAGGGCCCATAAAGATCATCTTTACCCAGGTATGGGTCTTCATATGCTTTTGTGTCCTTTAGTTTTTTCAACTTTTTATAATCTACAGGTGGTGCTTAGCAGCTTCCTTCCTGGCCACCACCCTTCTCCTCCTCCTGTTTTTTCTTTTCCTTCCTCCTTTTCCCTCCCTCCCCCCATCCTACCCTTTCCTTCGGGGCAATGTTCATTCTTCATTTTTTTTTTTTTTTCCTGGGTGGATTGCTAGACTCTTATTCAGAGGGAGCAGTAGTAACTGTTCAATCAGAACAATGTCATCTCAGATGGGAACATCTATAGGACTTTGCTGTCTATAAGAACCCCTTTTCTTCTTAGCCTCTCTCTGGCCATCCTTCACGATGGTGGTGAACCTCTCTGGCAAGCATTTATTTTCTTGTTTTATGCCTTGCACATTACTGAAAACCAGGAGAGTCATTCAAAAAAATGCTCTGTGGTTATATCTGTCTTGCATGACCTTTAAATATGTATGAAAGACTCCTTGTCAGAAGTGAATCTTTATGACTGTTTTGCTCTACTGAGTCAAATGCACGTTTTTTAAAAAAAATCTACAGACTAACACCATGAGATCTTTTCCTTCTTTTTCTTTTAGTCAAGCTTTAAGGGATCTTTAAAATGAATCCCTGAGATTGTATTGCTTCAGGGTAGAATCCATCCCTGTGTGGTTGGTCCTGCCCAGCTACTTTTCCAGGTTTCCTCTTGTCTAGAACCCATTTGCCTTCTTCTGATCGCTCATGGGCTAGTGAAGTATGTGAGGCTTTTCTTCTAATCTGAAGTAACTAGTGGATGGTCTAATACATGCAGAAAGCTGAGTCAGCAATGAGTCTCACATCACTAAGTAAGCATTTCAGGTTAAGATATAGTTACATTTTTGGGGAAAATATTTGCTATTCTCCATATCCAACATCTTCCAGTTTTCTTTCTTTCTTTATTTTTCTTTTTTAAATTTCTTTTTTTAAATTTTTTTTTAATCTTCCAGTTTTCTTGCGTAGGAAAGCAGGTGAACATCTGAGGACTCTGTAAACCTTTGACCTCTTTCAGTTCTTAAGCATGACCTCTTCTTTCCAAAAGGTTTTTTGTTTTGTTTTGTTTTGCTAGGCAATGGGGTTAAGTGACTTGCCCAGGGTCATGCAGCTAGAAAGTGTTGCCACCTAGCTTCCTCTCCTTTCCAAAAAGCTTTGGAACAGTGAGTTTGTCCCATCAGTTGAGTGAAAACAAATATATTGTTTTTCTCACCTCATTTTTGTCTGCTTGACATATATGAGTAGGAATGCACCCAGTCCTTGAAAGAGCTTGCTGTTTACCTACTGCTGCAAAGTCAGGAAGGGGTCATTGAGACCTTAGAAATCACCTAGTCCGGCCCTCCCATTTTATGGATTTGGAAAACTGAGGTTCAGAAAAGTAGAGACCTGCCACGGTCACATTGGGAGTAAGTAGTAGAACCAGCAGGTCTCTGATTCTAAACCCATTGCCCTTTCCACTACCCCAAGCCACCCCCTAGAGCAGAAGGCAATGCTTCAGTTGTGCAGTGCAGCGATTGTTGAATGCCAGGACAGGCATACACATGTTTTGCTAGGTGCTGAAAATGGAAACAAGATCATAATTAAACTTCCCACTATGATCTTGCATTGGTTGAGTTGACTGTTTTGTAGGGATATAACTATGAGGCTAAACTCAAGGCTACAAATTAGATTATTTATCACTTCAGTGATCATGAGATCATAGACTGAGAGCTAGGAGTCCAACGGGTCCAAGCCGTCATTTTACCGATGAGGCAACTGAGTCTTGGGAGTGACTTGTCCAGGGTCACACAGGTAGCATGCATCAGAAGCACGATTTGAACCCAGGGCCTCTGAGGAAAAAGAGCCAGTGCTCTTTCTACTGTCACATGCAGATAGATTGCTTGCATTTTATTGAAGAATCAGAAGCTATTATATGGCAAGACTCTTTTTTGGTTTACGTGTAAAAATTATTTGTTTGGAGGACATATTGTGATTGTTAACCAAATGCTACGGAGAAAACCACTTCAGTCCAGCAAAGGCTTTTAAGTGTTTGTTGCATGCAGAGCATGAAAAGGCTGCAGAGGTGAATCTGCCCTAGTTCTAGTCCTCAAGGAGCCTCCGTTCCAGGAGGGGAGTGTTAAATTCACAAATAACTGGAATATAAACTAACATGAAAGGGTTCAGGAGAGATACAAAGGGTCCTGTCATTATCCTCATTTTACAGATGAGGGAACTAGAGCAAACAGGTTCAACGACTTATCCAGGATCATACAGCTAGAAAGTATTGTCTGAGGTTGGATCTGAACTTGATTCTTCTTGACTGCAAGCCCTGCACTCCATCTTCTATGCCACCTAGCTGGTGGAGAGGGTCTTCTGAGAGTTGAGAGGGGGAGATCAAGAAAAGCATTACTGAAAGTGTGGGAGTTGAGTTGGACAGGATATTAACCAGCTGAACAGGGTAGTGGGAAGGGGCTTGGGGTGGGGCAGGGCAGGCATTCCAGGAAGAGGAAACGAAATGAGAAAATGTGAGGGGCAAGAAAATGTGTAATATTCTAGGGTGAGGAAGTGATGAGAGTGTAGTCTCTGGGGAGAATAATATCGGGTCAAGCTGGATAGAGTTTGAATGAAGCCACTTTGGTGCTAATGTTCCATTTTCCGTTTTTTCCTCTAAAGGCTCTGGAAGCAAAATTAATTTTGACTATGACTTCTTCCACAAAAGTTCTGATATCTTCCCAATTTTAAAGGTATGATTTCTGGTTATTGTCTATAAACAACATTTGAGAATACATGCAAAAAATCCAAGGGATTTATATTATTGTACAATGCTAAACTTTTTAGTTAAAGGTTAATTATGCAAAACTTTTTTTTAATGGTTTTGAGAATTTACAATGTCAGAACTGATTGGATTTTTGATTCTTTTTTTAAATTTTTTTTGTTAATTTATTTATTTTTAGTTTTCAGCATTCACTTCGACAAGATTTTGAGTTCCAAATTTTCTCCCCATCTCGTCCCTCCCCCCACCCCAAGATGGCATGCATTCTGAATACCACTTCTCCTAATCTGCCCTCCCTTCTGTTTCTCCCCCCCCTCCTCTTATCCCCTTCCCCTTCAATTTTCCTGTAGGGAAGGATAGATTTCTATACCCCATTTCCTATATATCTTATTTCCCAGTTGCATGTGAAAACAACTTTTTAAAACTTTTGTATTTAAAACTTTGGGTTCCAAATTCTCTGCTTTCCTCCCTCCCCACCCACCCTCATTGAGAAAGCAAATAACTTGATACAGGCTATATGTGTGTAGTCATGTAAAACACTTTCATAGTAGTCATGTTGTGAAAAACTAGTATATTTCCCTTAATCCTATCCTGCTCCCCATTTATTCTATTCTCTCTTTTGAACCTGTCCCTCCTTAGAAGTGTTTGCTTCTGATTACCCCCTCCACCAATCTGCCCTCCCCTCTGTCATCCTCCTGCTCTCTTATCCCCTTCCTCCCCTATTTTCCTGTAGGGTAAGATAGATTTCCATATCCAATTGAGTGTATATGGTATTCTCTCCTTAAGCCAAATCTGATGAGAATAAGATTCACTCATTCTCTCTCACCTTCCCCTGTTTCCCCTCCACTGTAAAAGCCTTTTTTTGTCTGTTTTATGTGAGATAATTTACTCCATTCTACCTCTCCTTTTTTCCTTCTCCCATTATAATCCTTTCTATAATCCTCTCTCATCCCTTAATTTTATTCTCCAGATATCACCCCTTCATCTTCAACTCACCCTGTGCCCTCTATCTATCTATCTATCTATCTATCTATACATACATGTAATTGTTTCCCTCCAACTACCCTAATGCTGACAAAGGTCTCATGAGTTGCAAATATCATCTTTCCATGCAGAATGTAAACAGTTCAACTTTAATAAATCTCTTATGATTTCTCTTTCATGTTTACCTCTTCATGTTTCTCTTGAGTCTTGTATCTGAAAGTCAAATTTTCTATTCAGCTCTGGTCTTTTCATCAAGAATGCTTGACAGTCCTCTATTTCACTGAATGACCATTTTTTTTCCCCTGAAGGATTATGCTCAGTTTTGCTGGGTTGGGTTTTTGATTCTTAAAAAATGTAATCCATCATTTAAAAAACTGTTATGACTTTGGCCCTTATCTATCTGTCATTGAACCCATATAGAGAACTCCTGGTTAGGAAATTCCTTCCACCAGTGCACCTTCCATCTGTCTAGAGCACGGAGAGGTCCAGTGACTTGCCCAGGGTGATACAGCCAGGCAGTGTCAGAGGCAAGACTTGAACTAGGTCTTATTGACTTTGAAGCTACCCTTATCTCCACTGTGCCACATTGCCTTTTTCACATCTTTAAAAGAAACCGAATGAAATCTCCAAATGATTTTGTGTTGCAAATTAATGCTTATATATGTGTACTGTGATTCTGGATTTTTTATAATTTTATGAACATTGCCTTTTTTATAGTGTTACAGTTAATGTTTTTGGACTATAACTAAATACTTTCTGAATTGAATTTAATATGTGCAGCCAACTACTTGCTATTAATGAAAATCATCTTTCATTTATAAGCTAGGTCTAGAGGAAGCCAGTGATATTTTTTAAGCTATTATAATGGCTGATTAAGAAGTAATCAGTCAGATTACTCATGGTGGATTTAATTCAGTCATGAAGATGTTATCTAATCAACCACTTTCTCCTCGGTCCAAATCAAATTGAAAGCAGTTGATTATCCCTTCTATAGTTATGACCATAGTCTTGTATATCTCAATTAACCAAATATTTCTTGGGTACCTCTTTTGTACTCAACAGTTCACTAGATATCATGTCAAACCTCAAGGATGAATATATTAGAAGGATCTTTTTTTTTTTTGTAAGGCAATTGGGGTTAAGTGACTTGCCCAAGGTCACACAGCTAGTATATGTCAAGTGTTTGGTCTGAGGCCGGATTTGAACTCAAGTCCTCCTGACTTCAGGGCTGGTGCTCTATCCACTGTGCCACCTAGCTGCCCCTTAGAAGGATCTTATAATCTTATTAAGGGGAACTTTTAGTAAGACAACTAGGTGGCACAGTGGATAGAGGGCTGGGCCTAAAGTCAAGAAGACTACTCTTCCTGAGTTCAAATCCAGCCTCAGACACTTACTAGCTGTGTGGTTCTTGACAAGTCCCTTCACCCTCTTTGCCTCAGTTCCCTCATTTGTGAAATGAGATGGAGAAGGAAATGGAAAACTTTTCTGGTATCTTTGCCAAGAAAACCCCAAATGGGGTCACAAAGAGTCAGACATGACTGAAACTACTGAATAACAACAACTTTTTAGTTATATTTTTAGCTAAGCCAAAGATGCATATTAATTCTTCCCAGGGAAATTGTATTCCATTCTTAGGTAATTACAATTGCTAGGAGCTCCTTATGCTGAACCAAAATGTGCCTCTCTGTAATGTTACCCATTTATCTTAGGTCTCCCCTCTGGAGACAAATTTATTAAAACTAACCCCTATAAAAACCCTTCAGGTATTTCCTAGCTATCTGTTCCCACTAAGTCTTTTTTTTCTCCCAGCTAAAATTCCATGATTCCTTTAACTCTTGCTTTATGTATGATTCCTATCATTTGAGAATGCATATGAAAAACTACTAATCTTTATATTTGATTCTCATCATGTTAAAACTTCACAATGTCATGATTACAATGGTTTACCTAATATATTGTTTTAAGGAATTTTATTGCACTAACCATCAAAGCTCCTCTTGGTTCAAATGATTTGAGAGATTTAGGAAAAGATAGGATTAGGTTCTACTCTAGCTTTTCCTTCATTGAATTTCAAGAACTGTGATTTAGCATAGGGATTAGTTGATTTGAAATAGATATAGGATTCTGGGATTGCTGGAAATCAGTCAAAATGTCATTCATTAATTGAATATTATTAAAAATGGGTCAGGTTTGTTTTCTTATTCATTGGTATAGGAAGCTTATTATCTATGAATAATTATCAGTGAATATGTAAGATTTTGTTTTTTTCCCTTTTTATAAATGGCAGCCCATTTTTGTTAAATGCAGACATTTGTTTAATAATATTTACTTTATGTACTGTTGTGCTTTCTTTTATACAATAAATATAGCCCTAAAATGTATATAAACTGTCTTAGTTAAAATGTTCTAGGGCAGTGGTATCAATTCCTGCAACCCATGTTAACTTAGGAAACCACAAATTAATATCTCTGTTGTGTTATATTTTTATTTATTTTGTTAAACATTTCCCAGTTACATTTTAATTTGGTTCTGGTTGCACTTGGCCTACTGGCCCTGAGTCTGACTCTTCTGTTCTAGGGGAACTGGGAGTTCCAAGTATTCCTATTTATTCTATGCATTTTTATAGAGTAAAATATGTTTTTATGAAATAAATAATTAATTACTTTTTAATAATCTGAGTTTTCCAATGTAGTTCCCCCATGGGTGCTCCCTGCTCCCCCCAACCCCAGAGGTCAGCTCCTGCCTTGGATTGAAAGGGTACTTTATTGAAAGGGTACTCTTAAGATTTTAATGTTCATTAGTTAGCTCCCACTGGTGCACTTTCTTTTAATGGTCAGTCAGTAGACACAGTCAGTTTCCTTATAGCAAAAGCATTTACTAAGATGGCATGGTAAGGACAACATCTACTAAGTGTTCTTTCCACAAAACCAGCGTACATTCTTTACAAACACAGAATCAGTGGGAAGAGTGGTCACAAACTTAGAATATCCTGGTAACCAGTGAATCAGGGATACATGTAGCCAAGGCAATTCATGTCTTTGGGATTCCTGGGCCCCCATTTTCATTCTCCTCTTGTGATGTCCTTCTCCTGCTGCTTCTCCCTCCTCTTCTGCCCCCCCCCCCCCCCCCCTGGGCATGATAAGCACAGGTGGGTTCCCTTCACCTACTTTCTCTGTAGCTCAACTCCTAACTGCCGTGGTTGACTTTCTTGTCATGGCTCTCTTCTCTACTTCCAGTGGTTACATTCCTTGGAGCCACTTTCTTCTGTGACTGTCTCTGTGTTTCTGTAACTCTGTTCCTTCTTGAAGGCAGTGTCTCCTATGAGGTGAGTAGCTCCTCTGAAAGATGCCAGAGCTGATGAGGGGAAGGAGAGAGAAATGCCTTCCTTCCCCTCCTGCCCCCTCTCAGTCTGCAGACATATGGTTCAGAGGTCATGTCCAACAAGGATGCCTCCTGCCTTTACCATCTTTCAGGGATGACTGGCTTGCCTTTTTAAGGATCACCAGGGGCACAGTCAATCTTTGGCTAACCTGTGACAAATGTAATTCTATCAGGGAAACTTCAGTGCCTTCCCCTCTGAGCTTCCCTTCTTTCTATTCTGCTCTATCATGTAGGCACCTATATATTTATACAGATGTACACACACACACACACATACACACACACACACACACACACACACACACACACACACACACACACACATATGCTCCTTGAAAGTAGGGACTGTTTTTTTACCTTTTGTCTCCCCAGCACTTAATCACAGCACTTGGCATATAGTAAGTGCTTGTTGATTTGATAAAGGCATTATAGGACCTAGCCTTACCTTTATAGTTCCTTTAACATGTCAACACCTGGTGATCTCTGCTCTCTGCCCCTTACTTTCTGTGATTCTGTAACCTGGTATGGGGGTGGGGGTGGGGGTGGGAATCAAACCTTCACCACCCCACTGCACCTAAATAGGTTTACTCTATGATGTAGATTTGTATAATCTGTATATTTCCTGACATGCTATTTTCAAACGGACAAACACTTTGGCATAAAATGGCATATCTTAGAGGTATTGTTTCTGAATTTGCAGCAGCTCCTGCCCTGGGCCCTTGGGTTGTGGCTGGGGTGGCTGTGGGCCCACCACATCTAGGTCTTGGTTCCAGCCGTGCTTCCCCTGTCTCTGTTCCTCCACTCTCTTTCCAGCTCTGGAACTAAAGTCGCTCAATGCTTGCTGTTGCCACTGGATGGCATGGCCCAGGGCATAGTCCTTTATCACACCACTCACCATCACTATCATTTCCAAGCCAAAAGAGTGCATCCTCAGTCACCAATCTTTGTGTCTGTGTTATCTCCTCACTTCTTAGAACCTTCTTGAGGACAGAGAGTGTGATGCTTTTGTATTTATATCCCCAGAGGTTAGGAGAGTGCTTGGCACATAGGAAGTACTTAAAAATGCTTTTTCAAAAATTCATTCAATAAGAATTAAGTAAAGGAAAATGTCATCATTTCAGCTCCATCACTTAAACTAATTTAAAAGTCACTTTGCTGTCACTTAAGTCAAAATAACAAAAAATTTTAAAGAAAAACTTCATTTCTCTTAGTAAAAAACTTGGTATATCTTGTTATTGAGAATGAGTTTTAGATTTGTGGACAATTCGTACTTAAACAAAGATAAATCAGTCTTAAAGAAATACAGGCAATTTCTCAATAATGCTTACGTATAAAACTTTTCTGAATGTTATCTTTGGATGGGGATTAAAATTATATTTAAAGCTTATGTACCATTTATTTTAAAAGACTTTCCAAACTTATGCATATGACTGACTCAGATTTTATTTTCGTCAACCTATTTTTGTCTTTCAATTGATTTTTAGGAAACGCCTGAAGAGCAATTACTTTTGGCTTATGAGATTCTTGACAAGGCAATTACAACTATCGGGATGTCTCGTACACGATCTACGTTGCCCAATGGTACATCAGTGTATGATCATTGTCATGCCAAGGTAAGATTGTATAAGTCTTCATTTAGAAAGAACTTGAATATTACTAGGAAGAGAGTTGACCTTATAAGTAGACAGAGTAGGCAGCCGCCTACCACTCTGGTATGCTTTGAGGAGGGTATGAGGTGAGTGTGGCTTGTCTTTCCTTCTCCCTCACCGTCTCCATCATCCTTTCTCTCTCCCTTCTCCCTCTCCTTCTTGTTTCTTCTCCCTTTCTCCTCTGCTTGAAAACTTCTCAGCCTTCTTGGGTTGATTTCTCATACAGAATTTTAGTTCGTGGGATCTTAGCTGTTCTTTCTCTGAATTCATTTAAATTGACTCTCCTCATGGATGTCTAGAATGTGTGTTAGACTATTCCAGGCGTTCCTGTCTTTCTGTATAACAAATTCCAATATGAATACTTTCCCCTCTTCCCCCTTCAACCCCAAGGTTTCTATTACTTGTCAACTGGCAGTTTCTTCTTGTTGGGGAAAATCAAATCCAGAGTAGAGTTTTCCTTTGTTGGCACCTATACCTTTTGAAGGATGAAATTATTATGAAGGCAAGTCAAAAAACTATCAGTTGCTTTGCTAGTTAAGAGATACTTTTGGGATGCTGCCTTGTGGTGTAACTTAAGAAGTTTTCATCCTGTTTCACCAGCCTTGGGGGGTTCCTGGACAAAGAACCTTGGGATCACAGCATACATCCTATGATTCTGCTTATATCAAGTTGACTCTTAGTTGCCTTGGTCCCCTTCAGCAGGGACTCGCCAGCCAGCCAGAGAGCCTCTTTTCCTCCTTTGGCATGTAGCCACTGACCCTTTTCCTGCTGGGGCTTTGGGTTGCCCATTGTTATTCTGTGCAGTAATAAAAACAACAATAATAGTTTGCCAGCATCTGAAGGGACTGTAAAGCTCTTCATCACTTTATGGTATCTCATCTAATTTTTGCTAAAGCTCTGTGTAGTAGATGCTATTATCAACCTTTTTCAGTCTTAGTTTCCTCATCTGTAAAATGGGGATAAATGACTTGCCTAGTGTCACACAACTACTAAGTATCTAAAGTAAGATTTTAACTTGGATCTTTCTGACTCCAGGTCTTTGATTCTCTCTACTATACCACTCACTTGGCTAGGAGAAAAAGCTGTTTCCTCCTCAGAGTACAGTTGTATCCCCTTTGGGAAGTCTTGAGCCTGCTGCCTGGCCAAATGGGCTTTCTTTCTTTCCTTCCATGGGTCACACTTATCCATCCTCCAGTCTCATTATACAGGTTCAGATTCCCCTCTGCCTCTGTGGATTCCTTTGCTTTTGTCTGGAAGCATTTCTTTCATTCTCTCAAGGAATACATCCCCCTCTCCAATCAACCAGAGAAGATTTCTTCATTTCTTTCACCTCCTCCAGCAAGGAGACCATCCTGATTTTGTTTTGTCAACATGAAATAGTCAGGGTTTTGGACAAAAAACATGCATAGCTCATCCTTTGTAGGTCACCAGAATATGCACTTTCCTTCTATTCTTCCTAGAGCTGAGATCCCCAATTTTCTGTTGTTCTAGCTTCCATGATGAACTAAAGATTTATACTACTCTTTCCCTTCACTGGGGATCCATAGGAGCTCTTGAGCTGGGGTTTCTTAATCAAGGGATTTAATCTTTAATAGCAGGTTTTCTGCCATCTTTCTTTGCTTACCCAAGTACATTTCATCTTTAGTTTGCAGGTTCCTGTCCATGGTCCATTGCAGATAGTTCCTCTATTTAGCTGTTGTCTCAGGGGTCTTGTGGGAAGAAATCAAATTCCAGGTGTTTCTTACAGCTTCTTTTCCCTTTTCTTCTCTCATCACTGGTCAGATGCTTTTTGCTTGTACATTGCCTCTTCTCTGTTACTCTATACAATATAGGGAGATTCATGATTGCTAGTTGAGAAGAAGGCACAGTGGGAATGGAAAACAAGATAGGCATGACACATTGTGGGGGGGAGAGCAGGACCACCAGAAGAAACCACTGAAAGGGGGGGTCCTGAAGGCAAGCTTCCCATTTCACAATTTCTCCAGGCACTGACCTTGTGAGGAAAATACATTTGTTAGGGTGAATGATTTTGTCCATTATTTTATAACTGATTCTCGGGGTTTTTATTTGTTTGTTTGGGATTTTTGTGCTCATTTTAATGTTTGGGTAATCCTGTTTTCCTTTAATTTACATGTCACTTACATGGACAAAAGGTCATCCCTCCAACAGAAGATAGAACTTCCGGCAAGACACTCACTGCCAACAGTTTGATCATGGACTTGCAGATGGAAATCATTCTGGCTCAGCACCGGATAGCTGTTATGCTCCTTGACCAACTCAAAGGTATCAGTCACTAGCATGTAGTTTCCCAATGTTGGATCAGCTCTGGGTCAAAATTAAGTCTAGAACTAGTTTAACAAGAAAGTCATCTGTTAACTAACTCCTTCCTCCCAACTCTTTAACACATAAGGAACCAAGTTTTAATGTTTTTTTTTTCCCTTTCCTTCTCTGATTTGTATGACAATTGAATTGATTTGTACCAAGACATCATTAGAGTTAAAATGTAAGTTATTAATGATTCATTCATAATAGTATTTTAAACCCTGAATAAATCTTGTGATAATGTGTCAGTGAACTAAGCAATAACACATTTAAATAAATGAGTAACATTTTATGAGTTACAGTAGAGTATTAGTAACATATTGGGTTCTTATTGAGTCTTATTGAGTCTTATTGGGTCTTATTGAGAGGGGGAGATATCAGTTTCTATTGGCTGTGATATTACCAAATGAATGAATGAAAAAGCCAGGGAAGAGGGTATGCTTGTAGCAACAATGTGGATGGCAGGGTGTTGGCTGAGGAGTATAGTTGGGACATGGTTGGTTGTAGCCAGCGTAGAGAGAATGGACCAATTGAGGCACTTATGAATCAGGCATGGGGGTTTGGGGTTGGTTAGGGAAGGCATGTAGTGTACAAATGCCTTTTATGTAAGGAAAAGGAGATGAGCTCTCCCTTGAGGTCGTCTCTTATCTTGCTGCTTGTCTGATGGCCTGGCTCCTTGGCATTGCACCCATAGCCAGTGCTTATCTGTCTACCCTCTGCCCAGAGACTTCCAGGACGAGAAAACTACACTTTCTGATGGCTATAATCGTTAATTAGTTTTTCCTCAAATGGAATTGAAATCTCCCTCCCTCTAACTTCTCCCCAGTGGTTCTGACTTTCCCTTCTGGAGCTGAGAAGCAGTAAAGTTCCTCTCCCATGTGATGGCCCTTCAGATGTTTAGACAGAGGGAGTAGCATTGGGCTGGAGTAGGAGACCTGGATTTGACTTGCAGCTTGGTGATGTGGGGCAAGTTGCTTTTCTCAGAGCTGTCAAATCCTCATCTCTATAAAATGGGGAGGCTAATAATTGCATTAACCACCCACTGACTTCTACAGAGAGCACGTTGTAAAATGTAAATTATTTATCTTGGATGGATGAATGATAAAGCCTTTATTACAGGCTAACCATGCACCGGGCCCTGGGCTACCTCTTCTCCAGAGCCTTTAACCAATCATGTTAAATTCATTTCAGCATTAAAACATTTTTAAAAACGTCTCACTTGGTAGTGGGGAGATGAAAACATAAGTCACCTAGTGCCTGCTCTTACAAATGGGGGGATGACGTAGCAATGTCTCTCTATCTACATATCCCCTCCTCCTGCTATACATGTGTATATACACTCACAAATGATATACATGTACACACACATACAAATGACACTAGCTGTGTGACTCTGGCTGAGTCACTTAACCGCTCGATAACCTGGGCAACTCTCTAAGGCTGTAAGTTTCACAGGAGGTGCTGACCTGTGGTGATGGGTGGAGTTTCCTCTTTCGGGGAGCTCCATACTGTATCAGTGGAATCAGAGGTTACAGAGGTAGAAATCATAGGATGTGCTTATCTCATCAGATGCCACATCCTGTCAAATCTACCTCCATGATGCCCTCTACATTCATCCCCTTCTCTTGACTCACAAGGTTAGGCTCTCCTCTCTTCATTGGTTTCTCTCCCCTCTCCAGTCCCATCTTCCACACAGCGGCCAAAGTGATGTTCCTAAAGCACAGGCATGACCGTGTTACTCCCTTGCTCTGTAAACTCTAGTGACTTCCTGTTACTCCTGCTGGGATCAAACACAAACTCATCTGTTTGACGTGTTAAACCTGGCTCCAACATGGCTTTTTTCATATAGTCCAGTCCCACCCAACTGGGCTTTGTTCTGTTCCATTCTAGCTCTCACCTCGAGCCTTTGACTGGACTGCTCCTCAGGCCCGCCGTGTACGCCCTCCTCACCTGGGCCTTTTCCCATCTGAAGGTTACTTCAAAGCTCACCTTAAATATGGCCTCCTACAAGAGGGCCTCCTGATCCTCCTCCTTTCCCAAGCCACCTCATATTTACTAAGCATATGCTAATACACAGCACACATGCTATCTCTCCCTGTGGAGTATAAACTTCTGGGGGGCAGGGACAGTTTGATTTTTGTCTTTGTATCCCACAACACGGGCCTGGCATGTGGTAGGACCTTGAGCTGTTATGTATGTGAAGAGAAGAAGGAAGATGTAATAAGCCAGGAAAGGGAGGGCTGAGGTCAGGGTGTAAAGGGCCTTGAATGCCAAATAGGAATTTGTATTTCATCTTCAAGGTAATAGGGAGTGGTGGAGTTTAGTTGGTCTGTCAATAAACATCTGTAAGGGCCTACTATGTGCCTGGCACCATGTATGTTCTGGGGATATAAAAAGAGGCAAGATAGTGCCTTCCCTCAAGGGGCTTACAGTCTAGTAGGAGGAAAACAAGCAAACAAATTTGCACAAGCAAGCTATGTACTGGATATGTGGGGATTGTGTAAGAGAGGGAAGGAGCTGGAATGAAGAAGTGTTGAGGAAGGTTTCCTGTAGAAGATGGAATTTTAGTTGGGACTTGAAGCCATGGAGGTCAGTACTTGGAGTGGAGGAGGGAGAGCATTCCAGGTATGGGAGATAGCCAGAAAAAATGCCTGGAGATGAGTGATGGAGCATCTTGTTTGTGGAACAGCCAAGAGGCCAATATCACTGGATCAAAGAATACATGTTGGAGAGTAAGATGGAAGAAGACTGGCAAGGTAGGCGGGGGCTAGTTATGAGGGCTTTGAATGCCAAACACACCATTTTGTATTTAATCTTGGAGGCATTAGGGAGCCATTGGAATTTATTGAATAGGGAGGGTTTACTGGGTAAATACTCCTTGACTAACTGATATGTAGGAGCGATAGTGAGTAACCTGGTTTGGGTTGAGCATGGATGTGAGAAGGGAGCATTTGGAGACAAAGCTAGAGGGCTGCCCAGTAGACTGAGGACCTTGAATGCCATGCCGATGGATTTTGTTGGATTTTATCCATTAGGCAACAGGATGCCTTGGGAAGATTTTGGATGGAAGAGTGAGAAGTTCGGCCCTGTGCATCAGGAAGATTAACTTAATGGACTATGAAGAATGGATTTGGGGGCAGAGACTGGAGGTTGGGGTTAGAAGGGTAAAAGCTCCCTGCCTCTGTAGGGTTTCTAGTTACCTCCAGAGCTTGGCTCAGGCATCACCTTCCACATAGGCCCTTTCTTGATCCCTGCCCCTCCTAGTGTCTTTGCTCCCCCTCCCCACCATTTTCTGGTGCATTGTACATATAAAAATATATATTTATATATAATTACATCATATGCATTATGTGTAATATATAATTGCATGTATACATGTTGTCTCCCCCAATAGGATATAAGCTCTTTGAGGGCAGAATCTGCTTTACTTTTTTGTCTGTTATGTCTCCAGTGCCTAGAACAGTGCCAGACCCAAAGAAGGGGCTTAATAAATACTTGTTGATTGATTGATTGATTCAGAAGGCATCATCTGGGTCCAGAGAGGTAGTAATGAGGACTTATTAGAATAGAAAGGGAAGAGAAAGGAAGGGACTAAACACTTATGTAGCACCTACTATGTGTAAGACGCTGTGCTAAGTGCTTTACAAATATTACCTCATTTGATCCTCACAGCAACCTTGGGAGGTAGATCAAGGTAGGCCCAACTTGACAGATGGGAAAACTGAGGCAAACAGAGATGATGTGACTTGCCCAGGGTGCCACAGCTATTAAGTGTCTGAAGCTGGGTTTGAAAGTCAATGAAATGAATGGGAGGGGTATGATGTAGGTTGGGTCAGGAGGACTTCATAATAGATCCGATGTAGGAGGTAAGGGAGAGGGAGGAGGCAGCGAGAGTATCAAGATATCCTTTCATGGGTCATTGGGTGAATAAAGGCGCCATGATCAGTCAGATGGAGAAGCATGCATCTTCCTCACCTTCCCTTGGACATCCTTCACTTTATCAGTGCCCCTCCTAAAATGTGGGACCTGCGAGTGAGCACAATGCTCCAGATAGGGTCTGGCTAGGGAGGAGAGAGTGGGAGGTTCCCTTTACGCTGCCGGACGTTCTTTGCCTGGCCCTGTGATTTCAAGGATAGAGGCAGCTCCCAGTGAGGAAACTCCCTCCACCTGTGCAGATCACCACCTGCTCTGCAATTTCATGTCTTAGAGAATTGTCAGGAGGCCCTGAGAGGTGAAATCACTTGCTCAGAGTCACACAGCCAGGTTGAACCAGAGGCAGGATCTGAATCTAGTTCTGTCTGACACAGAGGCCCACTCTCAATCCACCATGCTATAATCCTCTCTGGAAGAACCATGTCCTTTCTAGATATCACTCTCTTGAATAATGCTGACAACTCAGCTGACAAATCAGTATTGTCAGCTGTATTCAAAACACAGCGGCAGTTGGGTGATGCAGTGGATAGATCCTTGGGCCTGGAGTAAAGAAGACCTGAGTTCAAATTGATCTTAAACATTTACTAACTCTGTGACCCTGGGAAAGTCACTTAACCTCTGTCTGCCTCATTTTTCTCATCTATAAAATGGGGGATGATAATAACAGCACCTAACTGCCAGGGTTGATATAAGGATCCAATGAGATAATATTTGTAAATGACTTTGCAAAATTTAATACACTACATAAATAATAGCTATTATAAATAATAATAATGATGATAATGATGATGATGATGATGATGATGATGATGATATTAAAGCCTGAATTATTTCCTGCATTGGGTTACATTTTGACAAGACCATTTTATTTGTTCCTGCATGATTCCATTTCTTATAGTCACATATATCTACCCTTTCTCTGCTATAAAATGTTGACTAATTGGAGAATAGACTTGAAGAATCTGCCCTGAATAGACCTCTGATCTACTTTCTTTTATAAGTTTAAGACCGACTTTGTCAGATTTTTTTACACGCACTAAAATTTATTTAATCCAGATACTGGTTAATTTGAAACAGTACAACTCAAAGCAACTGTGATTCCCCAAATGGTTGTAGAATGTTCCCCATGAAAACTCTGTGCCTGATTCGAAGTACAGATAATACAATAAATCAAAGCTTAAATTGGGTCCTGAGAGCACCCTTCATTATGGCATATATTGGAAAATGGGAAGTAAATGGAAATCAGTCTTTGGTGAAACGATATCGGAACACCTCCCAGCTTGCTCATTGACATAACAGGGATTGAAATTATAAACAATTTCAGTTTTTTAATGACACATCCCTTATTATCAGATATATATGATGTCGTTAATTTGTACTACTGTATTGAGTGGTACATTCGCTTCCACTGCCCTCCTACAATTTCGGGAACCATGATTTTCTTCCCTCCTTATTATTTCCCCCTGTGGGCTGATTTTGTTCTTAGTAGTGCCATACTTTGAAGGCTTGGTCAAAGCAATTGAAGAAATAAAAATAGCTGCGTTTTCTGTAAGTTAAAAGACAGTTGCTTAAAGACATGCTGAACAATGAGTGGTTAATTGCTTTGACCAAGTCAACAGAGTGCTCTACTTGGGCGGTAGTTGTCTTTTTGAGAATGTTCTATTTTGAGGCACGGGGGTGGTGGGGAGTGATGGATCTGGGGTCAGAGGACCTGGGTCTGACACTTGGTTCTGCCTCTCATTGGCTTGGTAACCTTTGGCATATCACAATCTCTCTGGGCCTCAGCTTCCTTATTTATAAAATGAGAGGGTTGGGCGAGGTGGTCTTGAGTCCTTTCCAATACTAAAGCTGTGGTCCTGTGATATTGGAGATGATTTGGCCCTGTGACTTCACTGAGAGAGGGAACTAAACTCCTGGATAAGGAAGCTCCCTCTACCACTACAGGTCTGCATCTTCTCTACAATCTTAAAAATTGCCTGGAGTACACCCAGGTTGTCCTGGCTTTGGTGATGACTCAATTCACCCCTTTCTGGAAGAAACAATGACTTCTTATATGCTTCAGATATATCTGACAATACAGTCAAATGTCTTGGTGCCTGTTCCCTACATCACACTATCTATCTCTCATGATATTGTGATGGTATAAAATTTTTAAAAATAGGAAATATAAATTGGATATAGTTTTTCACTGGGATGCCAAGGTTTGCCTCAAAAAAGCATCTCCAAATGGAATGGACTGCTTCTGTGCAGTGTTCATCTCTTAAGATGAGGAGGCTATCCTTCCTTCCCATAAACTATCTCTTCAACGCACCATAATTCCCTCCTGCTAGCTCTGGTATCTTCTCAAAGGTGGGTATAGTGTCTGTTGAGCAGTCTTTTGGACACAAGTCAAATTGTTTTCTTTTGAGCCTTTTTTGTAGAGCCATCTTAAGTATAATATTTTTAAGTGCCCACTATGTGGGGAAGTCATTACAACAAATAAATGGCTATATTCTTTTTTTTTTTTTAGTCCATTGGGGTTAAGTGACTTGCCCATGGTCACACAGCTAGTAAGTGTCAAGTGTTTGGTCTGAGGCCAGATTTGAACTCAGGTCCTTCTGACTTCAAGGCTGGTGCTCTATCCACTGTGCCACCTAGCTGTCCACGAATGGCTATATTCAAGAAACAGATGATGATTTAGCTTCCTATAGTATTTCTTGAGCCTGATTCACCTCAGAAGGAGCTCCCTCATCATCCTCTCTGTTTTATCCATCAGAACTTCTCAGCATCATCACTTATCTTTTTTTCTTACCTTTCTGTCTCAGATGAAGCATGCCTGCCCTTTGCTTAGGCTAACCCCATTTCTCTGATTTCATTCCTTCCCATCTGGCCTTAGCAATATGTCCCCTTACTCTCCTAAATCTTTAATTTATTTTCCATTGGTTCCTTCTTCTTTGTCTATGAACATGCTCAGGTCAACATAGTCCTCAAAAAGCCTTCCTTTGACCATTCTACATTTGATTTACCACTTGTTCATACCTGTGAGTTATTCTTTCATTCATTTGAGAAATTGGGACCTTCTTTGTTGACATTAAATGGAGTGAATTTCCTTTAACTTAGGGGTTTGCTGACCTTAGCAAGTCTGCTGGAGTGCTTTTGATAAAGTCCATAGTTATAAATCCTAGGTAATTCTGGTTCAGTCTTCACATTTTACAGACTGGGAAACTGATGTAATAAGCCTGGGAGACAGGTTTTGAACCCAGATCCTCTGACTCTAGAATCAATTCTCACATGAAGAGTTTTGAGTTCCCTCACCCACCTGATCATTATCTTTTGGACGTGATCCAGTTTCATACTGAGCTTCTTAAACTGTGGTACATAGAACATAGTACTCAGGATGTGTCTTGAAGAGCAGACAAGAGACAGGATTCTTGTCCTCCTTGGTCTTCTTGTTGTACGTCATAAAATGCCGATAAGAGGTCCCAACCTAAGCCTCACTTGTTCGTTGTTTGGGTTTTGGTGGCTCAGAGTGAGTGTAAATAGCACTGGCCAGAAATCCTGGGGGTCTTCCCTATCCTAGGGGAAGTGTGATGGAAGCACTAGTATTTTAAAATCCATAGCTCAGGGACTCTTAACCTAAGATCCTGTGAACTTTTTAAAAATATTTTTATAACTGTATTTCAACATAACTGTTAACTTTAGCAATACTCTATTTTGTTTTATGCATTTCCTAACATGGTTCTGAGAAGGAGCCCGTAGGCTTCAGCAGACTGCCAAAGGGGAGCACAACAAAGCTTCTGTGATTTCTAGATGCCTGTTATGGAGAACGATGACTTTTTCAGACATAGACCTAACTCTAATGGTGAGTTGTCTTCTTTTTCAGCTTGGGACTCAACTCTTCAGAAATCTGGCTGTCCCAAAGAAGCTCAAAGTACAAAAGAGTCTGCCAGCACTAGTTACTTCACAGGTAAAATATGGACCCACTGGACACAAATTACGTAGACTAGGACAGGGTATTGATCCAGTTTTGATAGAAGAATGTTTTCACATGATCCTATCTGAAATGAGTGTTTTGTTTTGCAGAATCGTATGTACTGAAAAAAATCAACAAGAATCGAATATCCAAAGCAATCTACTTGATGCAGAAAGCTCTGATATTATTTGAGAAAGATCCCCTCCAAGATCACAAGTTGCTGGAGGTGAGACTGACGCATTCCATTTCTCCCAACCCAAGTTTCTCATGCAACTTCATATTAGTGTGGTCAAGTCAACTGGCATTTATTAGGCACCTACTGTGTGCCAGACATTGTGCTAAGTGCTGGGGATACAAAGAAAGGCAAAAACAAAGCAAAATAAACCCAACCAATATCCAGCAGCAATTACAAAAACAAAACAAAAAAATAGCTCCTGCCCTTGAGGAACTCACAGTCTAATGGAAGAGACAAATTGCAAATAGCTATGTGCAAAGAAGACTTATACAGTATAAATTTGGAATGGTCTCAGAAGGAAGACACTAAGGGTAGGGAGTTCTGGGGTGGCTTCTTGCAGAAGGTAGGATTTTAGCTGAGGCTTAAAGGAAGTCACAAGATAGAGGTGAAGAAGGGAGAGTTCCAGTTATGGCGAACAATCAATAAAAATGTCTGTAGTTGGGAGGTAGAGGGTCATGGGTGAGACACAGGAAGACACTTGTGTCCCTGGATTGAAGAGTGAATGGAGGTGGTAGAAAGAAAGATGAAGAATGGAAAGGTAGAAAGGGGCCAATTTATGAAAATGATTTCCTTATCCAGTTGAATTAAATTAAACAAATATCAGTCAGGTGCCTACTCTGTGCAAGAGATACAGAAAGAGATACAAAAATAATATGTACTCAGTGCTGTGAGACTTTGAAGGAAGGGGAGATCCTCTCTGATAGGTGATCAAGGAAGCTGCAATGGAGGAGGTGGCATCTGAGTTGGACCTTGAAGGATAATTAGGATGTCAGTGGGTTGAAATGATGAGTGAATGTGTCATAAGTATTGGAAAAAGGATGGTGAAATACATTGGGAAAAGTAAACAGCCTAGTTTGCCTGGAGTGTAAGAGTATGCTAAGGAGAGTATAAGATTGGAAAGGTAGATTGGATCCCCTTTGTGGAAGGCTTTGAATGCCAATCCCTCTGGAAATTGTAGGATTTAGATAATACACCCACTGCTAGAGTGTGGTTTTGAGAGACCATATTCATTGTATATGAGACCATTTTCATTATATATGTTAAATACCTTTACAAAAGGAAGAAGAGGGGGAGGGGAACCCACCTGTGCCTATAATTACCCTCGAGACCCTGTGTGACCTCTAGAAAATCAGCAAACTTCTAGTAATTTTGTACACCTATTTGGTAGGGGGTTGTCAGGTAGAAACTTTTTTCATGACCAAAACAAACAAACAAACAAACAAACAAAACCCAAAACCCAGAGAGGGAAGTATTTGACAAATGGAATGGAGCATTTCCATTGTGCAGGGAGAGCGCTGTCCAGGGTTCTATTCTCTCACCACAGTTCTGTAAAAGAAAAGTGACCTTTAGGTGAGGAATGCTCTCCTCCGTTACTATTTCCCCCAAGTGGTGGGTACTATGAATGCCAATAGCTAATTCTTTCTTCCAGCTCAGTATCTTGGGGGATTCATTTTCCCTAAGGAAACACATTGAGGCTTTTGCAAATGAATTTACTGAGAAAGTGGGATTTGCTTTGTAGAGACTCTTCGTTCTATGTGGCAAGTATTTGAAGGATACTTTGTGTAAATTTCCCTTGCCCCATGGCACAGATGTTATAAATATGAATTAAATATGGATCGTGTACATATTAGACATTTTAATAAGGGATCTAAGGAGGTTCCTGAGAGCAAGTTGGATGTTTGAATGCTTGACACATAGTAAGCACTTAATAAATACTTGCTGATTGACTTGTTGACAAAATGAACATATAAAGAATACTTGAGAATTTTTTTAATTTTAGTGACAGTTTTCTAATATTGAATCAATATATTGGGTGACTGGAAGTATGATTGACCCCTTGACAGTGATAAGGAAGTTCAGAAAAAGAGAGGGTAGTTTTGTGGAAAGGTAGTATTGAGTTTGAGGATGTGTTGAGTTTGAGATGTCTACATGATATTCTTGGTTATTGTAATTATATGATTTTCAGTTTTGTTATTCTGTTCTTTCCATTTACATTATTGTTGTTACTGTGTGTATTATTTTCCTGGTTCTCTATATTTCTCTCTGAATCACTTCATAAAAGTCTTCCTAAGTTTCTCTAAACCCTTCATATTAATTATATCTTATGGTGTATTACATTCACGTACCCCAGTTTGTTTTCTCCCAGTTAATGGTCATTTACTTTGTTTTCAGTTCTTTTCTACCACAAGAGGGCCCTGTAACTGTTTTGGTGTGTATGGTAACTCATTCTTTTGGTCTTTAACCTCTTTGCAGTTTATAGGCTGGGCAGTAGGATGTCTGGGACAAAGGATGGGACCTTTAGTAAATACTTAATTCAATTGATTCAATTAATTTAATTAATTGAATTGTCTGTAATTTCATTAGTGTGGTGTATTCTCTCTATGGACACAAATCATAACCTCTCCATAATTTAGTAGGTGGACTTAAGTGTAAAATCTATAAATGATTATTAATATTAACATGTAAATGGTCAAGAAAGTGCCAGTCTGCATTTTTAAAGGGAGCACTGCACAGTTGTGAAATTAAGTTTGCTCCAAGAAAAAAAAGGTATTAGTTTTATAATCTCGACTCTATTATTTAAGCAAAATTTGAAAATATAGCTCTATGATTTAAATAGACTGGAGAGGAATTGAAAAAAAAATCAAATTGATATTAAGAATGGTATGGAAAAATGTTTCTTAAGTGCTTGCTGTGTATAGAGAGACTGGTCGAAAAGCAAGACCGCTCCTGGTCTCCAGGAGCTCACATGCTGATGCGAAAGATTACATGCAGAGGAGGGTTCAGCTGCCGGGCAAATTTAAGAGGATATAAAATATAGGAAAGTAATCACCTTTGGCTTTCTGGAAACCTTGTATTATGTTTTTAAAACATATGCTAGGAGCCATTGTCAAGAGGTTCAGATATTTCCTAAAAAGCTTTTGTATTTTGACTGAATCAATGTTTTGCAAAAGCCTTTGTGGTAGGCAGCACTAACACTTCTTTTCATCCCCCACAGGCCCCTCTCCCAGTGGCTGTGGATCACCTCTCCCTAATCCTTTCTCTTCCATTTACAAAATATCTTAAGAACCTAGAAGGAAATGGTTGATTTGGCTGCAGTCTTTGAAGCATTTGCTTCTTCTTTTTTTTTTTTTTAACGATTGTTTCCTGTTGAAACAAATGTTTTTTCTTTGAAAGTGAACATTTTTGCACTGAAAACTCATGTATTATGCAAAGGACACATGCCAGGGAAGATGTTGCCTTGTGATTTCTGATAGTTCTCTCTGGGTCTCTGAATTTCTTCTCACCACCCATCTTTAGACTTCAGTCCTCAGGTGGCATAATGGACAGAGCACCAGGCCTGGAGTCAGGAAGACTCAACTTCCTGAGTTCAAATGTGGCTTCAGATACTTACTAGCTATGTGACCCTCAGCAAGTCACTTAACCCTGTTTGCCTCAGTTTCCTCATCTGTAACATGAGTTGAAGGATGTAACATTTAAAAAGGTTCAAGAGACATATAATTTCTGGGTAATTTAATTATTTTATTAATAATGCCAGCATATTTATTAATAAAAGGATGGTGATTTGGCCATCTCTCTCTTAGACCAAAGACAGTCATGGCGGGCAGGGCTTATCTGCTCATTGGAAGAAGGGTGTTCCCAAGGGTAGCAATTAACTCTCATTGGTTAATAATTAATGAGAGAATGAATATTACAATGAGGGGCTGGACCTGAACTTTGATTATGTCATTTACTTTTTAAGTTACCTAAGACCTCGGACAATCTATTCAAAGAATTTATCCCCTACAATCCTGAGAAGAAGGGAGTTTCACCTTAGATTAGAAGTCTGATATAGTTGGGTGGAGTAGCAATACCCAGAATAAGGAGAATATCAATCCTATCTTCTATCAGCCCTGTCCTTGAGAGCTTGAACAAGGAAATAGGACAGGGAAAAAAACTGGGGTCTCCTGAATTTTAATAATTGGTTAATATGAGAGAGAAATAATCATTTCACTCAAGGAAAAGGCAAACTACTCCAGTATCTTTGTCAAGAAAACTCCAAATAGGGTCATGAAGAGTCAGACACTTCTGAAAAATGACTGAACAACAACAACCAGACGGAGAAAGGAGGATGATGCTACTTTACCCCTCTTTTTTTTGTGTGAGGCAGTTGGGGTTAAGTGACTTGCCCAGAGTCACACAGCTAGTAATTATCAAGTGATCAAGTGTCTGAGGCTGGATTTGAACTCAGGTTTTTCCTGACTCCGGAGCCGTTGCTCTATCCACTGTGCCACCTAGCTATCCCTACTTTCTCTTTCTTTATACCATCTATACTCCTCTCCTCATCCCCAAGAATTACTCCCTAATTGTTTGAAAAAAATATAGTGATTTGCCTTCGGTGATTTTTCCAAGATCACAGTGACTTAGTGGCAAAGCTAAAACCCAGATCTTCTTATTCCCAATCCAATACTGTTTCTATATATCACTCTGAACTTAGAAAAGTCATTTGACCTGGCTAGGCTTCAATTTTCTCATCCTTAGTATGGATGAGAAAAGATTGATCTAGATGACCTTTAAGGTCCCTTCCAGCTTGGAAATTCCATTATTCAGTGATGCTAATAAACTTCAGTCAAGAAAATGAACTTCATGAAGGCAAATCATCAGTGAGATATTTATTTCCTTGTTGTATTTGTTGTTATTTATCATTATAAAATTAGGTTTTTTTTTTTTTTTTGCAAATAATCCTCTCTCTTTTAGGGAGATCATGTTCCTCTTAGGTTAATATGGCATTTTTGTGAACTATTTTTTCTTTCTTTTCACTGTGGGAAGAACTGTATCTGTAGTGGAGAAAGGCGTAGTATCAACCTTCAGATGACCCAGGATCTGGTCCCTCTTGTGATACTAACTTGCTCTGTGATATTGGGCAATTTACTTCCTATCTCTGAATCTCAGTTTTTGTACCTATAAAATGAGGAAGCATATCAATACAATATAATAAACTTAAAATTTCACAG